GGGCACACCGCACGGCCCGCCCCGCCTGTCTGAGCGCCTGGCTGTGGTCCCGCAGAACAGCGTGAGTTTTGTGGATGACAGCTTCCCCCCCGGGCCCGCGTCGGTGGGCTTCCCGGTGGGCGACAGCGTCCAGCAGCGCGTCAAGCAGTGGCTCCGGCCCCACGAGATCAACTGCTCCGTCTTCAGGGACCACGGCACCCCGTGGTCGGTCTTCCACACCCTCCGGCCCTCCGACATCCTCCAGGGCCTGTTAGGGAACTGCTGGTGAGGCTGCGTTCTCGGGCCGGGGTGGGTGGGCTGGGTGCGAGCCCGGGCCGGGTCGGGGTCCGGGCCGGGTCGGGGTCCGGGCGGGCCGGCGGGCGCCCGGTCAGGCGGCCTGCCTCCTGCAGGTTCCTGAGTGCGCTGGCCGTGCTGGCCGAGCGGCCCGACCTGGTGGAGCGCGTGATGGTCACGCGCGGCCTGTGCGCCGAGGGAGCCTACCAGGTGCGCCTGTGCAAGGACGGCACGTGGACCACGGTGCTGGTGGACGACATGCTGCCGTGCGACGAGTCCGGCTTCCTCCTCTTCTCCCAGGTGGGCGGGGCCTGGCGGGGGCGGGGCCGGCTGCCCTGTGACCAATCCAGCTTCCTCCTCTTCTCGTGGGGGTCGGGCGGGGGCGGGGCCGGCTGCCCTGTGACGAATCCAGCTTCCTCTTCTCGCAGGGGGCGGGCGGGGGGCGGGGCCGGCTGCCCTGTGATGAGTCCGGCTTCCTCCTCTCAGGGGGGCGGGGTCGGCTGCCTCCTCTTCTCTCAGGGGGCGGGGCTGGCTGCCCTGTGATGAGTCCGGCTTCCTCCTCTCAGGGGGGTGGGGTCGGCTGCCTCCTCTTCTCGCAGGGGGCGGGGCCGGCTGCCTCCTCTTCTCGCAGGGGGCGGGGCCGGCTGCCTCCTCTTCTCTCAGGGGGCGGGGCCGGCTGCCTCCTCTTCTCTCAGGGGGCGGGGCCGGCTGCCCCCTCTCCTCGCAGGGGGCGGGGCCGGCTGCCCCCTCTCCTCGCAGGGGGCGGGGCCGGCTGCCCCCTCTCCTCGCAGGGGGCGGGGCCAGCCTGACCCCGCCCTCTCCCCCAGGCACAGCGGAAGCAGCTGTGGGTGGCTCTCATCGAGAAGGCGCTGGCCAAGCTGCACGGCTCCTACTTTGCCCTCCAGGCAGGGCGCGCCATCGAAGGCCTGGCCACGCTCACCGGCGCCCCCTGCGAGAGCCTGGCGCTGCAGGTCAGCTCCACTAACCCCCGCGAGGAGCCCGTTGACACTGACCTCATCTGGGCCAAAATGCTGAGTTCTAAGGAGGCTGGGTAAGAGGGGCGGGCGCTGCCACCGCCCGCGGCGTTGGGAGGCGAGGCAGGCGGAGCGGTGGGAGAAGCGGGGGGCCGCGTCCTCGGACTGCGCCTCACAGAGCTCCGCGCGGGCCGGCCAGAACCGAGAGGCCTGGCCAGAACTCGGCCCCCAGCGGGGCCAGGGCTGTTCCCACCTCGGGAAGGCCACGTCCCGTCCCGGGCCGGAGCTCAGGGTCTCCTGATCGAGAAATGGGCAGGATGAGCACACGGAAGGGCCCTGTGAAGTGGAGGGTGTGTTCTGAGGCCTGCCTCTACCTGAGGCTTGAGAGAGGAGGCCCGGCCGCCAGGACCCCGCCCTCAGCTGGCCCTGGGCCCTGAGCCGGTCCCACAGGCCTCCTGAGCTTGGGCAGAACCCGACCTGAGGGCTTGCCCCCCACAGACAGCGAGGAACCTCTGCCTGCTCCCCACCCGTCCATCAGCAAGGGCCACTTTCCTGCACAGGTTCCTCATGGGGGCTTCCTGCGGCGGAGGCAACATGAAGGTGGATGACACGGCCTACGAGAGCCTGGGCCTGCGGCCTCGCCACGCCTACTCCATCCTGGACGTCCGTGATGTCCAGGGCTCCAGGTAGGGGCCTGGGGGCAGGCAGCCAAGCTGTGGACATGGGTGGGAGCCGTGGGGAGTGGTCGTGGGTCCTGGCCCCGTGGTCTGCCTGGTGGGAGCCGTGAGGAGCCAGTGGGTCCCCAGCCCCGAGGGTGCCGTTGTGGCTCTCAGTCCTGCGGTCCACAGGCTCCTGCGGCTCCGGAACCCCTGGGGCCGTTTCTCCTGGAACGGCAGCTGGTCAGACGAGTGGCCACACTGGCCTGGGCACCTGAGGGCCGAGCTCATGCCCCACGGCAGCAGCGAGGGTGTATTCTGGATGGAGTACAGCGATTTCATCAGGTACCAGACACCCTGACCCGTCCTGTGGCCCTCCTCTCCCACTCACCTGGGCAGGACGCCGGCTGGGCTGACTGCAGAGCCCAGGTCTGCATATTGGTGTTGTTCCGGGGGCACGGGTCAGTCAGCTTGCTGTCCCGGAGAGAAGCCAGGCACCCGTGGCTCGTGCCTATAATCCTAGCTATTCCAGCAGCTAGATCTGGTGGAGCAGGAGTTAAAGCTAGCTCAGGCAGAAAAGCACATGAGATTCCATTGAAAAAGAAAGAAAAAGAAAGCAGGGCTGGAGGCCTGAGTTCAAATACTAGAACCACCAGAATAATACATGAGTAGAAGGAGGAAAGGTTTCTGTGGTTTTTCAGTGCACAGGTAGCTGGCTCTCTTGCTGTAGGCTTATAATGAGGAAGAAATGGCAACCTACAGGGCCTGGTCAAGCAGAGTTGCTCACCATATGGAGGCTAGGAGGCAGAGAGACAGGAAGGGACCAAGGTGAGGTACAGCCTTCCTCTAACAAGACACACTCAACATGAACTCACTGTCCCTGGTGGGTTAATCCATTGAGGACACCAGCACTCTTGTGAGCAAGCCATTTCTCAATAGCGCCACCAGCAGGAGACAATCCTTACACACCTGAGCTCTGAGGGGACACTTAACCTCCCAAGGGAGGCAGCCAGGTCAGCAGAGCCTTTCCCCAGCGTGCCGAGGGCCTTGCTGGGTGCCCAGAGCCAGGCAGCAGAGGCCCGCAGGGTGGGGCCCGCCCCAGGCAGAGGTCTGAGGCTGCGGCTCTCCTCAGAGGCCTCGTCCTCGCCCCCAGGTACTTTGACTCCGTGGACATCTGCAAGGTCCACTCGGACTGGCAGGAGGTGCGGGTGCAGGGCAGCTTCCCCAGCACAGCCAGCCGGCCGGTGGGGGTGACGGCGCTCACCGTGCTTGAGCGAGCCTCGCTGGAGTTTGCGCTCTTCCAGGAGGGCAGCAGGTGGGCAGGCAGGCGGGTGCTTCTCCCGGCCCCTCCCCCCCCCCCCCCACCCCACCCCCGCCACAGCCACACGAAGCCCCCCGCCTGCACTCTGACCCGCAGGCGCTCAGACACTGTGGACAGCCACCTGCTGGACCTTTGCATCCTGGTGTTCCGTGCCACCTTCGGCAGTGGTGGCCGCCTGAGCCTGGGCCGCCTCTTGGCCCACAGTAAACGCGCCGTCAAAAAGTTTGTGAACTGCGACGTCATGCTGGAGCCTGGGGAATATGCCGTGGTGTGCTGTGCCTTCAACCACTGGAGCCTGGCCCCGCCGGGCCCGCCCACTGCCGCCCAGGGTAATAGCCCCAGCCAGGCCACCCGCCCCCGCCCGCCTCCCCACGCTCCGAGCCTGCCCCAGGAAGGCTGCTGCCCCTTCATCCACACCCTCCCACAGCCCCTGGCCCCTCGGCCGGCGCGCCTCCTGGCCACGTGCTCGCGGTGTACAGCTCCAGGCTGGTCATGGTGGAGCCAGTCGAGGCCCAGCCGACCACACTGGCAGACGCCATCATCCTGCTCACGGAGAGCCGCGGCGAGCGCCACGAGGTAGGTGTGCGGTTGCCCGGGGGCAGGAGCGCGGTGGGTGGGCCCCTGTGCCCGCCAGCCCCGCCCACCCTGTACCCACGCAGGGCCGGGAGGGTATGACCTGCTACTACCTGACGCACGGCTGGGCGGGCCTGATCGTGGTGGTGGAGAACCGGCACCCCAAGTCCTACCTGCACGTGCAGTGCGACTGCACAGACAGCTTCAACGTGGTGTCCACGCGCGGCAGCCTGCGCACGCAGGACAGCGTGCCACCCCTGCACAGGTGGGTGCCCAGCCCCGCCCCGCCCCGCCCCGCCCCGCCCGGTCCTAACCAGCCCTCCCCCCAGGCAGGTTCTGGTGATCCTGTCCCAGCTGGAGGGCAACGCCGGATTCTCCATCACCCACCGCCTGGCACACCGCAAGGCCGCCCAGGCCCTCCTCAGCGACTGGACGGCCTCCAGGGGCACCCACAGTCCCCCGCTCACCCCCGAGGTCGCCGGCCTGCACGGGCCCCGGCCGCTGTGAGGGCCACACCCGGGGCGGGCTGTGTGCAAACCACCCCTGCCCCTCCACATGCACTTTATGAGGGAGACCCCGAAGGAGGGTGCTTGAACCAGAATCTCAGGACCCCACTGGGGGGGCCCCTGGCTGCAGGGTACTGCTTCCCTCGGCCATCCCCCCCTCCCCCACCCCACCCTGGGCACCGCAGCCCCTTGGCCAGGACCCCACTGGGGAGGGGCCATCCCCCTGCCCCTCCCCCACCCTGGGCACCGAAGCCCCTTGGCCAGGACCCCACTGGGGGGGCCATCCCCCCCCCCGGGCACCGCAGCAGCCTCCTGGCCAGGCTGCCCAGCCACCAAGCAGAATACCTCGAGCCAGCTGGGCCATGCGCCTGCCCCTCCCACCCGCCGGCCCTGGAGACCGCTTCGGGCATTGGAGCCACGCCGCAGTGCCCCTCCCCGCCAGCATGGCAGCCAGGGTCTCTGTTCACAAAACCAAATCTAGTGAAAGCTGGAACTCCCCTTGAGGTCCATGGCTTCCTGCCTCAGTTTACCCAGCCCAGCTCCCTGCCCTCACGCGGTGAGTGGGGTCTCTGGAGCCTGTCACACGGGCAGCGCATTCCAGGAGCAGGTTCCGGTGGCCACAGGCCAAGGCTTGCAGACAGGCCGCCTCCAGCTGCCCCTTGGTGACACTATGCAACTCCCGGAATGCCTGCCAGGACTGAAGCCATGACCGGGTGTGGGGCTGGGGGCCAGGCCTGGCCCGGCCCTGCTGCCTGGAGAGGTGCTTTGTCCTCCACGCCTCGGACCACGGTCAGGCGGGCCAGCCCCACCGGAGGACCCCAGCCCCATCCCAGGCCCGAGCCGGGCTCAGCTGCTCCCCCGGCCCCAGCCAGACCAGGAGGCTGAGCTGCCCACCCACCCAGCGTCCCCCAGCCGCTCGTCTGGGCCTGCTTCCTGGGCCTCCTGCCCCTCTGTCAGTCTCCTGCCCGCCGCCCCCCCATCCTACCCCCGCCCCCGTGGCAGCAGCCTGCCCCCCCCCCACGGGGCTTGCAGTGTTTTTACACTGAGAGAAGCCCCCCTCCCCCTGGGCCCCCTTTTACTCCGAGCTGTGAATATTTTTAACACTGTAAATACAGCCAGCTCTTCGGCCACAGAGACTATTTTATCAGCTGCCAGTCCCTCCCCGTTCTGATGACTCCATGGGCGGTTTCCACTCAGGCTCCAAGGACCAAATAAAAGCATTTTGTTTTGTAAGGGAGCCTGGTGTCCGTCTTCACCCCTCTAGGGCCCCATGAGAATGTGGCTGTCGCAAGAACCAGCGGCTGGCGTCCCCCGATAGTGCTGTGGGGCTGCCAAGGGGGTCCAGTGGCCACTCCTGCCTCAGACCAGCTCGGCTTGGGGGGGGGCAGGCGACCAGCCTCGGCTGGGGGGGGGGCGCGCAGGGGGAAACAGACACTCTGGGAAGAAGCAAGTGTTCAGGGCAGGCAGAGCTGTGGTTAGGCCCTGCAGCCAGGAAGGACCCTCAAGGCTGACAGGACAGGATGTATGTGTGGCTTTTCCCTGCCTGCATTTGGTGCCCTGTCTGAACCTATCAGTCACCAGACGGGAGCAGATGGAGCTGGGGCGGGGGCAGCGTGGGACCAGAGTTGCTCTCACCCTGTCTGTCCTGCCTTATCCCCTCCCTGACCTGGTCCAAACGGGTGTCACAGGTGATGCTGAAGCCCTTGGCCCAGGCCCCTTGGGGGGCCGGAGGGGGCCCCGGGTGGGCAGAGGCCAGGGTGCAGGGCCAGCCGGGTGTACAGCGGAAGAGGCCTGTCACAGGCCAGCCCATCGAATGTGAAAGCAATTAAAGCCACCAGCAGTGTTCGCTCCAGGCGGGCCTCAGGCGGCGGGGCAGCTGCCACAATGTATCTCACCTCAGCGCCCACAGCTCGGCCCTGCCCCTCTGCGGCTGCTTGCCAGGCTGGACCTCCTCTTCTGGGGTGGGGGTGAGGTGTCTGTTCCCACCATGTTTTGGCACAGGCTGGCTTCCTCCACCCCTGGTGTCTGGGGCAGTTCGGGGCCCCTCCCTGCCTCCCCAAACCCTTTTCCTTGGTCCTGGACCCACCACATTCAGCCCCCACTTCTTTGGCCTCCATCACCTCCAATCTCAGGACAGCACAGGCCCGAGGCCCAGGACCCCAGGGCCTCCCGTCCTGCCCCCTCCCCTGCCAAGACCAACCCTCCCCTTGGTCCCAACACGGGGGTCCAGGCAAGGGAGCCTCCAGAGAGGGGCTGGAGATGGAAGCCAGGGCGCCCAGTGGCCACTGTGGACCTGAGGCAGGTCCGGGCGACAGGAGCGGCTCCCTAAGTTTAAGGAGGATGAGGTGACCGGCTGGCCAGGGCCAGCGGCGTCTGCAGGCCTCCGCTGGATCAGTGGGCGTGCGGGCGGCTCAGCCATGCTGGAGTGCAGCTGGGGCCTGACCCTGCCTGGTAGGGGACGGCTGCCTGCTCCCCATCTCCTCTACCAAGAGTTACACCCCAGCCCGGGCTCTCTGCAAAAAGAGCCCTGTTGACCCCATGCTCCCACGCTCCTGCCCTGGCCTCCCGGCCCTGCCGCCGTGATGGCCTTCCCGAGGTGGATGGTGGCCTGTTCTCACTTGTGAGGCGTCCCTGTCAGAAGTACTTAGTGTACAAATTAGCTGCAGCCTCTGCCTCCCTGCGCACAGCTCTGGGCACTGGGCTGACCCGGCTGCAGCTCCCGGGCCCCCTGCCTCCTGCCTGGGGCACAGGGCCATTCCGTGTGCACCCCTGGCTGCTGCCCACATCCAGGCAAGAAGGCTCGGACTGCTGGCCAGCCAGGGGTCTTTCCAGGGCCCCCACGTTGAGATTGGCAGAGGTGACCACAATGGCAGAACCTACAAGGTGGCAGTCCCAGTGTGGGGGACAGCAGAGGGCCTGGACCAGGGGCCAGCTCACAGGCCCCCTGTGCCCCACCCGCCAGCTGCCTGCCACTCAGGCGGTGAAAATTATCTGTGACAGGCTCGGGAAGGCCGGCCCCGGGGGCCGAGAGCAATGCACACAGCTTCTCTCCCCAACATATGGCTGCTGTCGGCCCCGGGCAAGCACTCCGCCAGAGCCGGGCTGGGAGCCGGGGCGGGGGCTCCGGGCGCCCAGGCCTCCCCCGCCCGCGCGGTGGGCTGCTCACTCTGGATCAGGAGGCCCCTGCCACCCAGCTCCCCTGACGAGGTCTTCCCCCACCACAGTACCTTCTGGCCCCTTGACCATCCCAGTTACCCGCCGTCCTTGGGGGAAGCCCCATGTCCACACCAGGTTGGCCGGTGACTCGGCGTGTCCAGAAGGGGCCATTAGATCCCAGCGGGATTTCCCAGGCCGTGTGTGTGCCCGCAGTGGGGGCCGTCCCCCTGCTGCACCCTCCTGAAGCCAGGCTCTCCCTGCCCACTCAGGCCACGCCCTGTCTCCATTCATGTCTCTTCTGTGTCCCTGCTGTGGTTCTCCAGAGCCACAGGGTCTACAGCTGTGGCCCGTGTGGAGCTCTGACACATGACCGGTCCCCTCCAGCCAAGCTCTGGGCCTGTCCTCCCCCCCTCCAACCTGGAACCTCTGAGGCCACCTTGAATGGACAGGGAAGCAAAGCTCCAAGTGGGACCCCTCCCCGGGGGCCATTCTGGCTGCTGCCACATGTCCTATGCTGTGGGACAAGGGTGAACAGGTGTGGCCAACCGTGCTGAGCCCCCCAGGGGCCCCAGGGCTTCTGCCACCGCACAGACAGCCCCACTGTGGGTGTCAGGCCCTGGGCCCCAACGCCACGCTTCCCTCTGCCCACCAGGGCTGGCGGGCAGCTCAGCCCACACTTGTCCCCTAGCTGCGACACTAAGGGTATGAGACAGTGCTGAGACTGGTTCTTCAGCAGCCTGTGAGCCCACAGTCCACACAGCCCCAACACTAATGGAGGTGACAGCCCAGCAGCCAGGGGCAGCGGGAGCAAAATGGGTTAATGGCTGAAAAGAGGCTCTGGCTGGGGGCAAGGCCTGCACCCAGGAGTGGCGCTGGGCCTCTGTCTTCCGTCCAGGGTCCCACGGAGCTGGGAGCTAGCTGCCTGAGGTGTGGCTTTCTCCATCTTTCTTCCCCTTTTTTTGTGCCATCCTGGGACTTGAACTCAGGGCCTGGGTGCTGTCCCTGACCTTCTTTTGCCCAAGGCTAGCGCTCTACCACTTGAGCTACAGATGTGCTTCTGGCTTTTTTATATTTCGGTAGTTTAGTGGAGATAAGAGTCTCACAGCCAGGCACCGGTGGCTCACGCCTGTCATCCTAGCTACTCAAGAGGCTGAGATCTGAGGATCATGATTCAAATTCAGCCCAGGCAGAAAAGTCCGTGAGACTTTTTGTTGTTGTTGTTGTTTGTGGATCTTGAACTCTGGGCCTGGGCACTATCCCTGAGCTCTTCAGCTTAAGGCTAGTGCTCTACCACTTGAGCCACCTTCCCAGCCCCATGTCTGTGAGACTCTTATCTGCAATTAACCACCAGAAAACCAGAAGTGGCACTGTGGCTCAAGCAGTAGAGCGCTGTGGCTCAAGCAGTAGAGCGCTCTCATTGAGCTGAAGAGCTGAGGGACAGCGCCCAGGCCCAGAGTTCAAGCCCCATAACTGACCAAAAAAAAAAAAAACAAGTCTCACAGACTTTCCTGCCTGGGCTAGTTTTGAACTTACATCCTCAGATCTCAGCCTCCTGAGTAGCTAGGATGACAGGCACCCAGTTTCCCCGCTCCTGAGGGGAGAGCTCTGTGGCTCAGAGAGTATGAGCTGAGGCCCCACAGCAGGACAGGGGGCCAAGCACCGACGACATGGGTCCCACCGCTGGTCACCGAGGTCACCCCATGGTGAGGAGCACAGGCCCCAGTGGCAAGAAGGGACAAGTGGCCATAGGGGCTGGATGAGGCCCCTGGGCCCACAGGAAACTGCCACCTCCAGGGGGCTCTCCAGACCCCTCGGGCGAGTCTGGTGGTCCTGCTCACCCCCACGCTGTGCGGACCCCTCCCAGATGCCCAACGCGTGGCCAGTGATGTCCCTTGTCCCTTGGGGTTGCCTCTTTCTTTCTGTCGCGCAGCCTTTTGCAAAGGCCCTGTGGGGGTGGCTGGCCCCAGCTCCCTCCTTTCACATTAAACGCAGTCAGCCCCCAACCTCCTCC